CAGGAGCTCTCCTTGTCGCTGATGCGCGGAGCCAAGCTTGCAGTGGCCAGCAGCGGGTGCCATTGCCCCGGGCACGGCTAACTCCGGCTCGGGTGAAACCTGGAGGCGGTGTTGGTCCCACCTGGCGCGCTGCGCTCTACGGCAACTTTACAGCCCTCTGTCTCCTTCAGAGCACGTGCCACATTGCCCATTGAAAACACTGACCAAAGAATGGCTTGTGTGAAAGGCCCCACTACAGCCTCTCCTCCAAAGTGACTGCCCAGGTTGGCAGCCAGACGTCCTGGTTACGTGGCTGAGGGTGGCTCGGAGCCGTGGGTTTCCCGTGCTGCTGTGAGGGATGCGTTAGGAGCCATGACATCCCCAGGAGGCAGAGAACGTGTTCCTCCTCCGCCTCGTCGCGCAGGTGCACAAGGCCACCTGAGTTTTCCAGGCCAGCGGCCCAGAGTGTCGTGGTTTTCATGCAGATGTTTTGTATGATTGGCTGAAATGTAGCAAACGTCTGTCGGCTACACTTCCCAACAGCTATCAGTAGCCGAAGTCAGTTTACGCACCGCCATCTTACTTGAGACAGCCGGAGGGTGGTCCCTTGAATCTGGAAGAGCAGTTTGAGTGTTAGTCCTCTCGGGGTGCGTGGAAGTGCTGAGAGCACATTTGTTTAAGGGAATAGCAGAGTGCTGGCTAATGATAAGATTCTGTTGTTTAGAGTATTTGAGTATGGCAGGATGCGTCATGATGTGATAACGTCCCCATGGCTGAAGGGGCTGGGGCAGAGCCAAGTGAGTAGCACAGAAACCCGGTGGGATTGGTGGGAGGCTGCTCTAAGCGGCCTCTAGGTGGCGCCTTCCAATCTGGACTCTCTTGGAAAATGATATTGGAAGCGAACAGGACTGGCAGGAGCTGGTGGGGGATGGCAGGAGCGTGATCAGATATGGCTTTAAATCTGCAGGGGAGACATTGGCAGTGCCACAGGATGACAGCCCGCGAATGGGAATTGGCCAGGTTGGTGGAACGTAAAAGAAGGATCCTGAGCAATCATTCAGCCAGAGACTGTAAGAAGGGGCATGGGGACTGGCAGGGCAGAGAGAAGGGTCAGAAGTCCTCTGGGTCGTGGACATTGAGAGCAACTGAAGACTGGTCTGTGTAGGGGCAAAGGGCAATTTCTCCCCTGTGCTCTGGGATTCGCTGGCACAACATGACGAAGACTCGGTAGGAGAAAAGGCGCAAAGGAGACAGTGGGGGCGGGGGACCACAGCACAGGGAAACACAGGAGTGGGATGATGCACCAGCCAGCCTCGTTCAGAAGCTCATAGACTTGGTTTCCTGTAGGAGAGAGGGAGAGCGGGGAACGCAGCTAAGTTGGAGGGATTGGGAGCCATCACTGGCGAGAGTCTGTCCAGGAGATAGCGGTCCGCTTATGAGAAGATTCTCTCGGGGATCTGAGCGATCCCAGGACGCACATTATCCGGCTCTACTTCCCGGTCTTCCCTGTCAGACGGTGAGATTTCAGGGTGAGGTTGGAAGGCAGCTGTGTTCCCTTTTGCAGTCCGGTCCCAACGCAGACAACGGATTCCCGATGGCCCCTCCTTGTGCTTAGGTGGGCAGAGAGGGCACGAGCTTCTCCTTTGGGTCAAGTGCATAGCATGCTGGGGGTGCTGTACTTCGTGTCCCGTCTTCTGAAGCCCAGCGGTTGCACTGAAACTTGCTCTGGCTTTCCTACGCTGCCCGAGGCCTCTGCCACTTTGAGCCACATCTCTACTGCGCAACATCTCTGGAAGCTGTTGTCCGAGTCTGCAAATACTCCCTGAGACCGGGGAGCTGTTGATTGATCCGTATCTGTCATCTGCTCCCCGGGTACCAGCACAGCTGCGTAGTCATGATAGCTTTTAAAAGATTCCTTCACGGCCGGCGCCGCGGCTCACTAGGCTAATTCTCCTCCTAGCGGCGCCGGCACACCGGGTTCTAGTCCCGGTCGGGGCGCCGGATTCTGTCCCGGTTGCCCCTCTTCCAGGCCAGCCCTCTGCTGTGGCCAGGGAGTGCAGTGGAGGATGGCCCAGGTGCTTGGGCCCTGCACCCCATGGGAGACCAGGAGAAGCACTTGGCTCCTGGCTCCTGCCATCGGATCAGCGCGGTGCGCCGGCCGAAGCGCGCCGGCCGCGGCGGCCATTGGAGGGTGAACCAACGGCAAAGGAAGACCTTTCTCTCTGTCTCTCTCTCTCACTGTCCACTCTGCCTGTCCAAAAAAAAAAAGATTCCTTCAGATTTTCTACGTAAACAACCATGTTATATGCAAAAAAGGACAGTTTGAGTTCATCCTTCCCAATCTGTATGGCTTTTCTTTTTTTTTTTCTTGCTTTATCTCACCAGCTAGGACCCCCAGGAGAGTGTTAAGTAAAATTGATGAAAGTAAATATCTTGGGGCTGACGTTGTGGCAGAACAGATAAAGACACTGCTTGTGACACCAGCACCCCATGTGGGTGCCAGTTCGTGTTCTGACTGCTCCACTTCCAACCCAATGGAAGATCTCTCTGTCTGTCTTTCCCTCCCTCTCTCTTTCAAAATAAATGAATTTTTTAAAAAATTTTTAATTAAAAACGAAAGTAGATATCTTTGGGTTATTCTCATTATTAGATATTAAGCTATTCAATGTTAAGGATGTTATTAGCTGTAGGGTTTTTTTTTTAAGATTTTTTTTCCCTTTTGGAAGGCAGAGTGACAGGGAAAGAAAGAGAAAGGCATCTTTTTAACAAATTTATTTATTTATTTATTTGCAAGGCAGTGTTCCAAACAGGGCGAGACAGAGAAATCTTCCATCTGCTGGTTCACCTCCCGAATGGCTACAACAGCCAGGGCTGGGGCAGGCTGAAGCCAGGAACCAGGAACTCCATCCAGGTCTTCTACATAGGTGACAGAGGCCCAGTTCTTGGGCCATCTTCCACTGCTTTCCCAGGTGCATACGCAGAGAGCTGGATGCAAAGCAGAGCAGCCAGGACTGGAACTGGCGCCCATGTGGGATGCCGGCACTGCAGGCAGTGGCTTTACCTGCTACACCACAGCACCAGCCCCTCAAATCTTGATTTTTAATATCCTGAAGTCCATAAGAACCCTGTAAAATAGCACTACAATGCTGGCCCCTAGCTGTAGGTTTTTTATAGATACTCTTTTGAAAACTGAGCAAGGACTGTTTGTTTGAATTTATCAAATCCCAATTTTCTGCATCTGTTGAAATGATCGTGTGGTTTTTCTTGCTGAAATTGTTAACATGGTAAATGACACTGAATGGCTCAGATCTTGGCCTTTCTTCTTGCAGTCACTTACAGATCAGTTTGAACCTTTCAAAGCTTGATTAAAAAAAAAAAGATTTATTTATTTATTTGAAAGGCAGAGTTACAGAGAGGCAGAGAGAGAGAGAGAGAGATGGCCACAATGGCCGGAGCTGTGCTGATCTGAAGCCGGGAGCCAGGAGCTTCTTCTGGGTGTCCCACGTGGGTGCAGCGCAGCCTCTGAAAGCGGGATTTTATAATATCTTTAGGTCCATAATGGCCTTTTTCCCATGGCTAATCTAACTCCACTGCAAAGACAAGACTTTCCAAGAGCTCTGCCCAGTAACCTGTTAGTTTGTGCGATTTCTCCAAGTTGACTGGTAAGGATGAGAACTCTCTGTGTGTGAGCTCCAACAAAGGACAAACATTTATCAAGCTGTCTGAATTCTTGTCTCGGCCTTGTGGAGTTCATTTCAATCAAAGACTCAAGGGTGCCCTCTGCAGGTCTCCAGGGTTTTCTACATCGTGCTGCAAATTCTAGCCACTTCCACATCTGCAAACCCAGATTTTTGGCCCCCCACTCCATGAGGTTGCCAGGCTCTGTTTGGGTTCCCCCTCCCTGTACCACTGGGGCCTACTTCGAGGCAGTGAGTTGGGATAGAGGGAGGGGGCCCTGTGCTGCCCGTGGCCCAAAGCTGACATGAGCTATTGCCTAGACCTCGACTGATTTCTGGCTGTGTATGAGTGGATAGCAACTCCTTGGGGTGTCAGTCTCCCAAAGAACAGAAGCAGGAGTGTCACCCCTTACTTTGTTCACACTGTTACCATACCTGCTGAGGGCTGTGCTAAAACAACCTTCCACATTTCGCTGTTGCGATTGAAAGTATTTTGCACTGGACAGTCCCAGTGATGGCAGTGGAAAGGGAATCGGAGGCCCTTTGGGGCTCACTTGACAGTGTCAGGTTTAGCCAATGTAGGCCTTGGTCTCGACATCTGTGAAATGCCAGGAAGGATAAGTGCTCAGACGACCTCGCTGACAGGTTGTGAGGCATAAACTTAAGTACTGCAGGTGATACATGCTGTTGCGACACCAAACAGACCCCACCCAGTGACCCAGTGACTCTTCGTGGGGACAGTGCCAGCCTTTTTTTTTTTTTTTATTTAATTTTATTTATTTGAGAGGCGGAGTTACAGAGAGAGAGACAGAGAGAGAGGTCTTCCAACTGCTGGTTCAATCCCCAAATCGCTGCAACAACTGGGGCTGGGCCAGGCCAAAGCCAGGAACCAGGAACTTCCTCCAGGTCTCCCATGTGGGTGCAGGGGCCCAAGCACTTGGGTGATCTGCTGCCGCTTTCCCAGGCACATTAGCAGGGAGCTGGATCAGAAGTAGAGCAGCCAGGACTCAAACCGGCATGCATATGGGATGTTGGCGCTGTAACCAAGGCTTTGACCCACTGAGCCACAGTGCCCTCCCCATTGCCAGCCTTCTAATCAGGCCTTCCCACCCATTTCCTCAGTGGCCCTCATCCCTCTGGGGGCTCGCTCCTCTGCCCCACACAGCCATCTACCTGGAAACAGGATTCCTTGCTGAAGGCGTGGCTCCCTGCTGCCCCAGCAAGGTTCCATGTTTTCTTCTTCAGCTACTTTGCCCCTGAAGTGCAAAACACAATGATCGCAAAGTGCCATACCAGGATTTCTTGCTCAACAGACTAATATCTGTTTTCTCCTCCCACCCCCAGGGCTACCTGGAGCCATAGGAAATCCCGGGGAAAAGGGAGAGAAGGGGGACGTCGGTGAACTGGGCTCGACTGGCAACGAGGGCCCGCCGGGACAGAAGGGGGCCAAGGGAGACAAGGGAGACGCGTCCAATGACGTGCTTGTGGCAGGTGAGAGGGCCCAGGGGCCCTGGGTGCCTGCAGGGTCTGTCTGCACCCACGCCCCACACTGGCTTGGTGTGGCCATCTGGCTTGCAGGGTGTTTTGCAATCTGTGTTTTCAAAAAAAAAAAAAAAAAGAGGAAAGCCAGTTTGTATTACTGCCTGAGGGCAGTACCAAGCTGAGAGCTACACAGAAGCCCTCTAATTCAGATCTGAAAGCTGGGGCGGGATTGAATGGGCTGAAGGAAGCTTCCTTTTCCAAAGACTTAGTGAAATGCAGTACAGTCTGGAACAAGGTGAGTGACCGCAGATGTCACAGAGGACGCTGGCCAGAAAGTCACGGCTGAGCCCACCGCAGACCCTGGGCCTAAGACTTTGACGTAGAATTGGGGCAGACTGCAGAGAGTTAGCATCTGTAGGGCAGCAAGCCACAAAGTCACCTGGCGGAGAGAAGAGGTGACAGCTGATTATTGAGGACAGAGAGGCAGGAGAATTTGGAATCCACAGTCCTCTGAGACCACTGCATCCTACAGACATAACCATCCGATTAACTCCGTAAACCCTGGATACCCAAGACCAGCATTCATGAACCAGGGACTTTGCTGGTGACTAGAAATATGAATAGGAAGATGAGCGAGGTGTAGTATCTGCCCTCAAGGAACAAGGAACAAGGATGGTTATAGGTGCTCAGAGCAATGACCCTGAATCAGGCACCCACTCACCATTCAAAACAGATTTCCAGGCACTGCATCGAGGATGTAGATCAAATGATGTTTAGCACGCTTGGTTTCATAAACAGGTAGCATTGCCAAGCAAACTGCATAACACTGAAAAAGTGTTCTGACGGTGTCATGTTTTTAAGTGTTTGAAAAGCTGAGGTTGTGTTACAATGGGAAATCGACACATCTGGTATACTACAGCCCCTAAGCCGCTGCACAAGTGGGGGAGGCCTGGGCGGGGCAGAGCCGGGCGGGGGGGGGGGGGGGGGGGGGGAGCGGTGGGGGGCGTGATGACAAACCATCCTCCAGTGGATCCCAATTGAAGAAACCAGGCCGGAGCAGAGTGCGCCCCCTGTGGGGAGTAGAGGAGGTGCAGGAGGGCTGGCCCACATCCACTCTGCCCACAGATCTCTGCCCCTTCAAAGTAGACAGAGAGCCATCTTCAGCCCCGGTGGCTCCCATCTGCCCACTCCTGGCAGACTGAAAAGGCTGAATGGGAAGAGGCAGCTAAAGAGACCTCTGCTCGCCGTTCTCAGCTCAGGACAGGAAGTGAAACAGAGCCCGGCAAGTAATGTGCTCCTTAAGAAAGCTCCAGAACAATAGTCCTTGCCAAGCACTGCTCCCTCCTTGGCCACCTGCGGTTAGAGGCCTGTCTGCCTGCAGGTGTGTAGGGAGCGGAGCTGCCAAAGCATTTGTAGCAGTGACCTCATGGGTTTTCTCAGGGCAAGGGTCATGATTCTCCATGAGGGGTTGATTTTCCTGCCCAAGGTCACAGAGCTGAATGGAACCCGAAACAACATGAGCTCCTGCTTTCTTCCACCCTTCTCATCCCTGACCACATGTTGGTCTTTAAAAGGTGCAAATGGTCAGCCCCTTCCGCCTCCCCCAACACTTGATGCAGTTGGTCAGGGGTGGGGTACGGGCCCTAGAAGGTTATTAGAGCTCCTTAGATGATTCGAATGAGCACTCAGGGACAAGCGCCCATGAAGAGAGGATGCACGTGGAGTGAGCACACCTGGAGCCGAGTCCCAGTGCTTGCCCAGGCTGAGACCCTGGGCAGATCGATGAACCGTGCTAAGACTCGGTTTCCGGAGAGGATCCTCCTCCCACCCCCAGAGCGGTTTGGAAGAATGATGGGGAGATTGGTCAGACTTGGCACAGTTTTTGGCACGTGCCTGGTCCTTATCCCAGTGTAGACAAGTGCTGAGGTTACTTCCTCTGGGAGGGGCCAGGCTCCGTGAGGCTCCCAGGAGCTGATCACAAGTTCACTTCTTGCAGGTGAAACGCAATCTCTGTTTATAGCTCTTCATTTTTTCTTTCTTGCTTCCTCTCTCCAGGTGCCAAAGGTGACCCAGGCCCAGCTGGCCCACCTGGGCCCCCAGGCCCCCCAGGGCCTCCAGGGCCCCCTGGAAGCAGAAGATCCAAAGGCCCTCGGCAGCCAAACCTGTTCAACGGCCAGTGCCCAGGTCACGAACCCCTGCCCGGCAAACCCACCTCTTCACCACATGACCCCCAACTCTGGGTCTGCACCCCAGGACTTGGGACCAGCTTTTCTAAAGCAGAGGGAAGAGGGTTTGTCCAGATGAGTGCTGCCCCTTGCAGCATGCTCATTCAGCCTGGGAGACGCTTAGCAAAGACAGGGCGGGGCAGGCAGGTAGTCTCCTTATTTTGCTGATCAAGAAACCCTTTCAGACCATCCTGAGAGCATCCCTGGTGACAACAGAGAGGCCGCCTGTCTGTCCAGCACCCACAAGGTGACATGGACCCTGCGGAATTTGTCAAGGCAGTGGGCCTGGCCTTCCCCAGGAAGCCCCAACTTCCCCCAACCTGCCCCCAACCAGTATCTCCTCCAGGCCAAGGCACCCCCTGTCATCCTCTAGCCACGTCCTCCCCCTCCCGCTGCCTTGCTTCTGCCACCCAAGACACCTGTTCGCACAAGGTCCCCATGAAGCCCACTCATTAAGGGGCACATCAACAAGCCAAGGGCGAGGGATGCTAGCACAGGTGCAGCCCCTGTGGAGGCCCCATGCCCCATAGGTCTTCAAGCAGGGGAGCTACAGGTGGGAGATGGTGGTGTGGGGCCTCCCACAGCCCCGAGCCGGGCTGCCTCTGGGTTCCTTCCTGTTCCTTCCTGTCCTGAGGCTCCATGATTCCTCTCCTGATGCCTCTCCCAAGAAATGGCCAGGCCAAGTGGGCTCCCAGTCCCTCCCACCTGCTTCCCTGGTAGTGACACTCCCTCCATGACAGTGCCATCTGTGCTGGTGATGCTGCCCACAAGCCTGTCTCTCCCTCAGATTGCTGAGGACTGGAAAAGCCTGGCTCAGGCCACTGTACCCCTTTTCCTGACTGCTGGGGTTTGAATGCATTGCCCAAAAGGCACGTGTTGAAAACTTAGTCCCCAGCTGCAAGAGTGTTGAGAGGCAGGGCCTCTAAGAAGTGGGTTAGGACCCAGCAATTAGGTTTAGCTGAGTTGGTGCCAAGGGTGCTGTCCTCGTGAATGGGCTCCCTGTGAGGGAGTCCAGCTGTTCTCTCTCCCCATGTAATGCCCGCTGCAATGTTAAGAAAGAGCAAGAAGGTCCTGACCAGATGGAGCTACTCGGTCTTGAACTTCACAGTCCCCGGAACATGAACCAGATGGATACATTGCTGTCTGTTATGAATCACCCAATCTGGCAGGCATTTGGCCCAGTGCTTAAGATGCTGCATCGCATACTGGGCTGCTTGAATTCAAGTCGTGGCTCTGCTGCGTATTCTAGCTTCCTGCTAGTGCAGACACTGGGAAGTAGTGGTGATGGCGCAAGTATTTGGGTCCCTGCTACCCACATGGGACATCTGCATTGTGTTCTTGGCTCCTCACTTCAGCCTGGCCCAGCCCCAGCCATTGCAGCCATTGGGAGCTTCTCTCTAAGTAAAATTCAATTTTCAAAAAAAATAAATTATTCAATCTATGATGTTAGGTTATGACAGCACAGAGTGGAATAAGACGTTGCCATCCTACTGGGAATGTATCTTACCAATTACAGTTATAGAAAGTTTATTGAGAACTTGCCAAGCAGGGAACAAAACTGGAAGAGTTCAATTTAGGCTTGTTGAAAAGCGAACAACCAAGAAACTCTGTGGGCTTCTTGCAAAGGGGTGTTCGTGGGACTAGGTCTGGATGAGGTGGGGGAAGCAACAGTTATAACATTATGCAAATCTCCCAGAGCCAGCTGTATTTTCCCTGGGTAATGTCGCTGCTGTCATTGTAGGCGAGACATGTGCCATACCCAACGATGACACCTTGGTTGGAAAAGTTGACGAGAAAGTCAATGAGCATCACTCCCCCAAAGCAGGTACAGAAGAAATCGTCCTGTTTTGAAAGTGGGTGCCTTAAAGTCAGAGTTGGCACGTGACTCACTCCTCCTCTTCCCCTTCGGCTGGCAGAATCCACGATCACGTCCATTGGGAACCCAACACAAGTCTTCAAGGTCAAGGAGACTTTTGGGACTTGGATACGAGAGTCTGCAAACAAGAACGACAGCCGCATCTGGGTGACTGAACACTTTTCAGGTACTTTCACGCGACACGGGCTCTGCATCTGTGTTATATTCCTGGTTTGCTTGTTTTTTAATCTGTTACCTCTCTTCAGGCTTGTTTTTTTTTTTGATTTTATTCGGTATAACTGTTGACAGGCAGAGTGTACAGTGAGAGAGAGAGACAGAGAGAAAGGTCTTCCCTTGCCGTTGGTTCACCCTCCAATGGCCGCCGCTGCAGCCGGCGCACCGCGCTGATCCGATGGCAGGATTCAGGCTTGTTTTCTGTCTGTGTACCTGAAACCCCTGCTGATTGGTAAAATAAATTGCTCCTTATTTCAGGAAGCACAAGTGAGTGGCCAAAAAAAACAACTTTCTCCTTTTGAACTTGCTATCGGCGAGCTCTGCAGCTCAGGTCGCAGGGGCCCGGCTGGGGGACCCACAGTGGAGCCTATCTAATTTTAGGCAAAGTACCCAGAAGGAAACTGCTTGATGAGCTTGATGGCTGCATGCCTTCCAAACCACAAAACCACGATGTGGAAGAAATGTCAGAGATAAATCCTTGTGTTTTTAAGATTGATTGCTTTATTTGAAATGCAGAGCAACCGAGAGAGAGAGAGAGAGAGAGAGAGAGAGAGAGAGAGAGAGAGAGAGAGGAGTTTCCATCTGCTGGCTCACTCCCCAAATAGTCCTGGGTCAGGCTGAAGCCAGGAGCCAGGAACTCCATTCTTGCCTCCGGCATGAGTGGCGGAGGCCACACCCACTTGAGCCATCATCTGCCACATTCCCAGGAGCCGTAGCAGGGAGCTGGATCAAAAGCAGAGCAGCTGGCACTCAAAGTGGCATTCCTATATGGGATGCCAGTGTTGGAAGTGGCAGCTGAGCCCACTGCGCCACAATGCTGGCCCCGGAGATAAATTCTTGGTGCACTGCCCATCTTTCTCTAAGTTCGGACCCCTCCCAGGAGAGTACTCTTGGTCATCTTTCTCAGTTATCAGTTGGACGGAGATCCCAGCCACCTTACCATCACCCTGCCTCTACACTTGACCCCTCCCACTGTCCCAGAGATCTGTGGTCAGGGTTGGTCACGGCGCCGACAGTAGCCTCATCCCAGGAGGCGTCTGGCCAGTCATTGGTTGGAGAAGCAGCTGCTTTGATCCACAGGTTTGGCATGTCAGCTGACAGTAATCACCTGACTTCCAGTCAGAAGGATTTGGGGGCTCAAAAGGAAAGAGTAGGGGCCGGCGCCTTGGCATAGCAGGTAAAGCTGCCACCTGCAGTGCCGGCATCCCATATGGGCACCAGGTCAAGTCCCGGCTGTTCCACTTCTGATCCAGCTCTCTGCTGTGGCCTGGGAAAGCAGTAGAAGATGGCCCAAGTCCTTGGGCCTCTGCACCCATGGGAGACCCAGAAGAGGCTCCTGGCTCCTGGCTTCAGATTGGCCCAGATCCAGCAGTTGAGGCCATCTGGGGAGTGAACCATCGGATGGAAGACTTCTCTCTCTCTCTGTCTCAGCCTCTGCCTCTCTCTAACCCTTTCTTTCAAATAAATACATCTTTAAGAAAAGAAAAAGGGAAAGAATAGTGACACTGGCGCAATAGCCGCTGCCGCAGAGGCAGGAAGAGCTCGGGGAGGCCTGGGTAATCGCAGGAGCGCCAGCTTCCTGCTCTTCCTGGGGTGGGCCTCCGCTGCTGGGGGGAGGAGGGAGCTCGCCCCTGTGCCCTCAGAGGGTCGCTGGGATACAAGGGGAAGGATCCACTAGAAGAGGCGTATGGACTGCTGAGCGGGTCTGGGGGCAATGGTAGGGGCGTGGTCCCCCCAGCCCAGCGCCGTTCAGAGCGTGTGCACCCTTTTTCTGGGGAGAACAGAGGTTGCTCATGCTGTTGAGGAGGGGAATGAATGGCCCAGCAGACAGGGATTCGCGTGTGAGATTCTTTCTAGAACTTGAATGAGCCCAGCGGACGGACACGGGCGCGACCTTGGAAAGGCTATCACCTGGCGGGTTGCCTTTCTCAGTCTTCTTTCCTGAGACATAAGGAGGCGCGGGGCGGGGCTGACGGCTGCGTGCTCCGTCTTCCGGTCCTGTCTGGAGGTAGATGAGGGAATTCCAGGGAGTGTCTCCCTACACCTGCAGGGGCAGAAGCAACACAAGCGTGTCCTGAGGGCCAAGCGCTTAGCAGGGCAAGCACGCCATTTTCGGGGTACGGCTCTCTGAGCCCCAGCGCTGCTCTGGTAGGACGTTTCATATACACCGCAGAGATGGGGGAGGAGCATCACTCTCTACAGGGGAGCAGAACCGAGCCTGTGGCTATGGCATTTGAAGGACAGTTTCGGGTGCCACCGGGAGAGCTGGACTTTGAGTTTGGGACTCTTCACCCACGACAAGGGACCCTGGAAACATCTCAGTCTCAGCTCCCCTCCCCTGAATGCCCCGACTGTCCGCAGCCGGGCACCCTGGGCAAGCTGTGGTTGCTGGAAAGTTGGCCGCAGCTTCTCGCTGGCTTCCCTCCCGCAGGCATCATAGTGAAGGAGTTCAAAGACCAGGCCGCCCTCCTGAACGGCAGCTGCACGTTCATCCACCTGCCCTACTATTTCCACGGCTGCGGCCACACCGTGTACAACAACTCTCTCTACTACCACAAAGGGGGCTCCAACACCATCGTGAGGTGAGTCGCTCGGGACCACAGCCCCTCCCCCGTGCACCCTGGCAGCGAGGCATGCGGCCCAGGCAGCATCCACTGCGCATGCGTGCGGTGCTTTCCTGCGCTACTTGGGAGTCAGGACTGCGTTTGCATCCCTTATCTGTCGTCTGCATGTTCCCCAAGCTGACCTGTGGCCCGGGAAGGCCAGAGCCAAGGGCAAGTGGACTTAGATGGGCAGGCCCAGCTTTCTTGGGAGGGTGGCCCCCCTGATGGCAGTTTTGTTTGGAAAACCTTTGGGTGTGAAGAATTTCTTGTCAGACCAGGGACTGTAACCGGAAGTCAAGTGGCTTTGCCTTCAGATTCCCCTGTCATCTGGAGGGAGCCCCGAGGCCAGTGCCCCCTCCCTCTGCATTTCCAAGGGGCCGCCTGGATAGGCTGTGCCCAGGACAGCAGCTGAGCCTTCCTGTCCCCCACAGGAGTTTTGTCCTCATGGTTCAACAAGCTTGAGTCACCATGGGCAGATCAAAGGAGCAGTGCGCGGAAGTCAGGGTGCCTGGTCCCTGGTTCCAGCTCTTCCGCCCTCTCACTCTGTGGCCTTAGCCACAAGACACAGCTTCCGTGGTCTCCCCGTCCTCCACTCAAACAGGAGACAGACCAGTGCCTCGGAGTCCTCCTGGCTCTGCCCCCTGTAGAACAGGAACCCCGGGCTTATGGAGGCCATGATCCTGATCGTTCAAAACCAGAGGCGGTGACAGGAAGGAGGCACTGAACCCCTGGGCCCCTCCTCCCCTCGGTGAAGCCCAGGCTGCCTGAGTGTGGCGTTTGAGTGCTCAGGCTGAGATGGGGATGGTTTCCTGGTATGGTGTGCAGTGAGATCGGCCAGGTTAGACAAAGGCATCAGTCGTGGCGGGGAGGGGGGAGAGGGGGGTGCCCCTCCCTTACTTCATTCCCCTCTACCCAACTCCCTCGTCATCTCTACCCATTTGGACAGAACTTGTGCCAGCAGAAGTGGACAAGTGACCACCCCTGCCACACAGAAGACATAGCTCCTGAGCCACCCTCCTTCCCATGACATTCCTGCCATGTTGTAGGGGCTGTTGTTACACAGAGGAAGAGTAGCAGTTCTGGGGTAGATGAGCCCCAGGATGAGGATTGGCCTCTTTAAGAGCGGGTGTCGGGGCCGGCGCCGTGGCTCACTTGGTTAATCCTCTGCCTGCAGCGCCGGCATCCCATATGAGCGCTGGTTCTAGTCCCGACTGCCCCTCTTCCAGTCCAGCTCTCTGCTGTGGCCCGGGAGGGCAGTGGAGGATGGCCCAGGTGCTTGGGCCCTGCACCCCATGGGAGACCAGGAGGAAGCAGCTCCAGCCATTGCAGCCATCTGGGGAGTGAAACAGCAGATGGAAGACTCCCCCCGCCACCTCTGCATCTCTGTAACTGCCTTTCAAGCAAATAAATAAATCAGAGAGAGAGAGAGTCCTCTAGCGAAGCGAAGCTTGTGATGGCATAGTTAGGAGACCTGTACCCAGCCCCTGCTCTATGCCTGGCCACAGGCTGGGAGCCGAGGGAGAGCAGATCTGAACTGGAGCCTGCTCTTGCTGGGAGAGAGAAGTCTTCCTGAAGTGGGCAGCCGCCAGGGGCCGGTGGGACCGGCCACATGGCAGGAGTAAATCCCAGGCATCCAGAGGAAGAATGCCTGAGTGCTGAGGGGGGCAGGACCTCCCCACGCACCCCCTCCCCTCTAGCTCCTTCTCAAACTTGCTGCGAGGTTTCTGCATCAAAGCTGAGCTTGTTCCCTCAGATGCTCAGCCGCAGTCCCAGGGTTCCCACCTCTTGCGCTGCTCAATGGCACCCTCTGCTGGTTCTCTTTTTCCTTCAGCCGAATTATCCCTGAATTGTCATTTCTAGAGTTAGTAACATTTTGAGCCATAATTCCCTTTTTTTAAAGAATGCAATCTATAGTTTCCACCTGCCACATCACACGGCCTCCAGGAGCGGAGGGCCTGGGACCCTACAGCACTGTTTATTCTGTCCACCCATTTCCCGGGCAAAGCCCTGACTTCCGTACATCCCTCATGAACCAGTGACTTTCTTCTGAATCTTGAGGGCGATGAGATATTTTCCTTAAAATCATAGCACAGAATGAAGAACTAACCCCCATATGGGCACGGGTTCAAGTTCCAGCTGCTCCTCTTCTGATCCAGCTCTCTGCTATGGCCTGAAAAAGCAGTAGAAGATGGCCCAAATCCTTGGGCCCCTGCACCTGCATGGGAAGACCTGGAAGAAGCTCCTGGCTCCTGACTTTGGATCAGCCCAGCTCTGGCCATTGCAGCCATTTGGGGTGTGAACCAGCAGTTGGAAGATCTTTCTCTATTTCTTTCCCACCCTCTGTTTGCAACTCTACCTCAAATAAAATCTTAACAAAAAAAAAAAAAAAAAGGATTGGGCTGGGTCATCTGCCACAGGGGGCAACAGTGACCCGGGGGCTGGTGAGGTTGGGGCGTTTTCCCAGGGCTCGGGCTGGTGAGTGGTGGCTTCCATGTGAATTCATGCTGACTGCGGGAAGTGCTCTCTTTACCACCACCCTGCTGCCCGCCCTGCACAAGCTGGTCACGCACTGACCTTTACAGCCTGGCCGCCGGTAGCCCAGGGGGAGGGCCAGTGCACCAGGCATTACCAAGGCCTTGTTAGAAGTGCAGAATCCTGGCCTCACCCCAGACCGGCTAGCTCGGTTTAGTTAGAGGAGCCCCATAAGCCACCTGTGTCCACAAAACTCGTGACGCGTGTCTGCTTCTTCTCCTTAACACATTTCAGATTCGATTTTGGCAAAGAAACATCAGAAACGCTAAAGCTTGAGAACGCCCTGTATTTTGACCGCAAATACCTTTTCACCAATTCCAAGACGTACTTCAACCTGGCTGTGGACGAACAGGGGCTGTGGATCATCTACGCGTCGAGCGTGGATGGCTCGAGCATCCTTGTCGCACAGCTGGAGGAGAGGACCTTCTCCGTGGCACAGCACATCAATACCACGTACCCCAAGTCCAAGGCGGGCAACGCCTTCATCGCCCATGGCATCCTCTACGTCACAGACACCAAAGACACGAGGGTAACGTTTGCCTTTGATCTGTTAGGAGGGAAGCAGATCAACGCCAACTTCGATGTCAGAACTTCCCAGTCCGTTCTCGCCATGTTAGCCTACAACATGAGAGACCAGCACCTGTACTCCTGGGAAGATGGCCACCTGCTGCTGTACCCAGTGCAGTTCCTGGCAGCTCCATTCAGCCAGTGATGTGCTGCGTTCTCTTCTCCTCACTGGATCTCACATGTCTTCTGGGACCATTTTTGTCTCATCAGAAAACCTGTCTTTAAAGGTAGCCGGGTTCTTAGAGCTTAATCTCACATCATGTGCATTCCCGTAGTCAGCGCGCCCCCTGCAAAACCCTAGTGCCCGCTGTGGGGTAGCATCAGGCTGGAAGTTGCAATGGCCCTGGAGCTTCCTCCATGTATGAGTTGGCCAGGTTGCCGCCCCTTCCTTGGGCCTTGGTTTCCCCATTGGTACTATTCAGCAGGTGACCAAGAAAATGGGCACAGTTTTCTCTACCTACAAGAAATGCTGTGGGTTTTGGTTACCGCTACTCTCACAGTTTTTATAGACCCGTTTTCTGTTTTTTTGTAGCCGGGTGCTAAGTAAATTTACCTGTAAGATCATAGCCCTGTTGCTTCAACAGTGAATTCTGCAGTGCTGTGAGAAAATGCGCTGAGCCTTTATGGCTTCGAAGGCACCATGCCGTCCATAATTTATTACTTTTCTCCACATTGCACCTGCTGCTCAGAGTGACCCGACCCTCTGCCCTTGATTGCAGCTCCCCGATCAGCAAAAGCCAAGAGCAGCTACATGCCCAGGCTTCTCAGTGAGACAGCATCGGCCCTTCAGGGTTTCTATCCATTTCCCATCAGGCTGACTTGCAGCAGTGGGTCTCCAGGGCGCTCCGGCTGCTGCTGCTCCTTTTTTTTAAGGGAAAGGGTTTACTGATGGAAATCCGACAGATTGGAGGGAAGGGGCGAAGAAGAAAGAGTGGGGTCAACGGAAAGAGACAATGAGTCTGGCTTCTTCTACCACAGCCACAGATCCAGAGTAAAGGGGCCCCCCTGCCCCTGCCTTAGCCATGGTTTCAGTTCCCACAGTTAACATAGTCCAAGAATACATCCAGTACAAGGAGGGATTAAGATATTCAGAGTGACACGCAGAGTGAGAGAGGCCACATTCACATAACCTTTATTACAGCATATGGTTACAGTTCTCCTTAGGTATTAGTTATTGTTGTTAATCTCCGCCTCTGCATCATTTATAAATTGAACGTTATCATAGGTATATGTAGGAAGAAACCATGGCCTATATAGGGGTCGGCATTGTCTGTGGTTTCGGACCGGACAGCAGGGGACTGCTGGACTACATGCTGTGGGAATGGACTGTGTCCGGCCGGAACTGTGACACTCTACAATCTTTGGAAGAGAGGTACCATTTGTGAGTTTATCTAGATCGGGGGTGGGAAAACTGGCCAGAAGCCAGTTCTTCACATGTTCTTGTAAATAAAGCTTTATTAAAACAGTCCCCTTCATTTGTTCATGTATCATAGACAGTCACTGTTGCTCTGTAGTAGTGGACAGGAGCAGGTGCAGCAGAGGCTGGGTGGGCCCACAAAGCCTAAAACATCTACTATCAGCTTGTTTCGTTTTGTTCCAGACTGAGAAGTGGTCATTGCTGCGGTCTGGGGTTTAGGCAGAGGGGAAGGCTAAGAACAGCACAAAATGCAGGGGCCCTGTGTGAAGCCCTGAGTGAGCTGCTCTTTGCTATAGCTAATTTTAAAGGTGGTGATCTAGGGTCCTTGGAGGGCAGGTGAGACTGCAGGTGAACCAGCTCCTAAGTGCCGTACACACACACGCACATTTTCTGCCGGCTCAGTTCTTTGTGCACCCTGCGCCGAGTGCCCTGCAGGGCCACTGGGAGTAGAGAGGACGTTGGGAAAAGGCCCTGGGCGCTGCAGCCAGGCACGGGAACTAGAACAGTGCTTACATAAAGCTCTGTCAGCAACTTGCCCCAGCCTGTGGGTGTCCTGAAACTGTCTGGACCCAGATTCGTTTTCAGTGGCCTTGAGTCATCGCTTTCTACCGTATTAACAGAAGCATTTTCCAACTTCAGGGAAGAACAGATCTAATGGTTTCAGTCTCCCCCACTCTCCGAAGATACCTGGGCAGCTGTTAGCAACTTATTTGTTGTTGTGTTTTAAGATAATGGATATTTGAAACTAACCCCTCCCCTCACTTTTAATTACTTGGTTGCATTGTGTCATCATAGCTTTTTAAAAAAGCCCTTTCAAGGCCGGCACTGTGGTACAGCGGGTTAACACCCTGGCCTGAAGTGCCGGCATCCCACATGGGTGCCAGTTCAAGTCCTGGCTGCTCCACTTCCGATCCAGCTCCCTGCTATGGCCTGGGAAAGCAGTGAAAGATGGCCCAAGTCCTTGGGAGACCCAGAAGAAGCTCCTGGCTCCTGGCTTCGGATTGGCGCAGCTCCAGCCGTTGTGACCAATTGGGGAGTGAACCATCAGATGGAAGACCTCTCTCTCTCTCTGCCTGTCCTCTCTCTGTGTAACTCTAACTTTCAAATAAATAAATAAATCTTTAAAAAAAATCCCTGGGGCCAGCACTGTGGCTCAGTAGGTTAATCCTCCGCCTGTGGCGCTGGCATCCCATATGGACACCGGGTTCTAATCCCAGTTGCTCCTCTTCCAGTCCAGCTCTCTGCTGTGGCCCAGGAGGGCAGTGGAGGATGGCCCAAGTGCTTAGGCCCCTGCATCCGCATGGGAGACCAGGAGGAAGCGACCATTTAGGGGGTGAACCAATGGAAGGAAGACCTTTCTCTCTGTCTCTGTCTCTCTCTCACTGTCTAACTCTGTCAAATAAAAAAAAAAAAAGCCCTCTCTGCAGATTCATGTTTTGTAACGAAGTCAAAGAATCTCACATTCAGGATCAGTGTGTCTAAGGAATACTAGTGTTGATTAATGTGAGTATGTGTGTGGCTGTTTCTGCACACAGGTGACCTGGATATGAGTATAATCTTAGTAATAGTATTAGTAATGTATACAATATGGTAGCAACTAAAAGAGGTTAGTTATTGAATTGGCATATATTTCTTGTAGAGAATACTTTAGAAGTCCCAGTGTTGAGGGGCTGGTGTTGTGTTGCCGCAGGTTAAGCCACCGCCTGCGACACCAGTCTCCCATATCGGAGCACCAGTTTGAGTCCTGGCTGCTCCACCTTTCTGCTGATGTGCCTGGGGAGGCAGCAGATGATGGTTCAAGTGTTTGGGTCCCTGCTACCCACACGGGAGACCGGGGTAGAATAGGATGTTTTTAAGTCATGAGAGCTTTTTAGTAGTTTTAACTCTTGCTTATAACCACAGTTGCTTTAAAGCACTTTCAAATATCTTCACTTCTGCTGTCACACTCAAACTAGATCTCTAATTCTCCCGCTGAAAAGTGAGCAGTACCACCCTCCCCACCTCAAACCAGACCGGAGCCTCCACCAAAGCGCCTTCTTTTGAGCTGAGACAGTGTCCCTCTGGAGCCGCCAGGGGGCTCTGTTCTCAGTGTGTCGCTCGCACAGGTGTCCTGGCAGAGAGAGAGTTCTGGGGTGAAAGTTTTAAAATGAGAGGGCTTCTGGGCTTCGCAGTATTCTTAGTTTCAAAGTCGCAAAATGAGAAGTCAAAGGAGACGGTGGTTTTTGAAAGCTCGCGTTCCAGCCGCACAGAGCACTTAGGGGCCATGGCTGCGTGCTGTCAACCGTGGCCAGGAGGAGGGAGTGATGCGTGCCTGTTCTCATCCAGCTGCTGTGACCTTGTGTTTCCCGTCAAGAGCCCCGATTTCTGACCGGTGCCCCAGATTCTGAATGAGAAATGACTAGCAGTGAATGCCTCTGGGGTTGTCATTCATTTGACTATACTCCATTAAAAGAACTGCTGAGCCAATCCCATGCTGAAACAAGTGTTCGGTTCTTTTTCTCTTCTGTTAATTTATCTGCAACAGTAAAAAGGAAAAGGCCTCACCCCCTAAGCAATACTGTGGTAGAACATAAAATCCTGGTCACTCTCTGTGGAGATGCTCACCCTCTGCCGGCCCCTTCTGCACCCTGAGAAACCACTGATACCGACAAGGTGTTTTTCTCTAAGAAAACGTGAAAAATGGAAAATCCAGTAACTAGAACGGGACCACACAGATATAAAGAAAGAGAAGACTTGCGAATTTGCCAGCAGAGGCAAAGCCACTGAGAACTTCATATTCGGGACTACAAATAAAGAGATAAATGTTCAGTCCTGGATTTGTGTGGCTTTGGGCAAGTCTCTGCGACCCTCCAAGCCGCTTTCCATCTGCGAAGTGTGGAGGGTGGGATTACTTACCTGAGCTAGTGCCTCTGTGAGAAGTGCTCTGGAAATCAGACAATTCCCCACAGACTGGAATTGTTGCTTTTAAAAATAGATTTATTTGATTTATTTGAAAAGCAAAGCAACGGAGAGGAGACAAAGTTCTCACTTCTGCTGGTTCACTCCCCAGATGGTCACGATGGCAAGGTCTGGACCGGGGGGAGCCAGGAGCCAAGTCTCCCACACAGGTGACAGGAGACCAAGTACTTGGGCCATTGTCCAGTGCCTCCCCAGCCCCCTAGCAGGACGTGAACTGGCTCTCCTGGGGTGGCCCCGCTGCGCCTCGGTGCACGACGCCTGCCCCTGAGCTGTCCCTGGGGTGGTCCATCCCCGCTGTAGCACAGCTCAGGGACTCCATGTCAGGAGTTCCCGCGTGCTGCTCCGTTCAGTCAGTGAGGAGCTCCAGAACCTCACCAAAGTCTCTTCACCGTACAGCAAACGTAAAACAAAATTTCCTCCAAAGAACAAAGTTCAAGATCCTGCCTCCTTGGCCTCCAGAGCTGCTTTATAACCTCCCCTCAAGTATCTCTGTCGCTGGGCCACTCAACGATGCACTGCTGCTGACTTCTGTCATTGAAATATTACAGTAAAAAAATGAGAGTCCGGCGCTCACTAGGCTAATCCTCCACCTTGCGGCACCGGCACACCAGGTTCTAGTCCCGGTCGGGGCGCCAGATTCTGTCCCGGTTGCCCCTCTTCCAGGCCAGCTCTCTGCTGTGGCCAGGGAGTGCGGTGGAGGATGGCCCAAGTGCTTGGGCCCTGCACCCCATGGGAGACCAGGAGAAGCACCTGGCTGCTGGCTTCAGATCAGCGCAGTGCGCCGGCCACAGCGCACTGGCCGCAGTGGCCATTGGAGGGTGAACCAACGGCAAAAAGGAAGACCTTTCTCTCTGTCCCTCTCTCATTATCCACTCTGCCTGTAAAAAAAAAAAAAAAAAAAAAAAAAAAAAAAAAAAAAAAAAAGGAGAGAGAGAGAGAAAGCGAAGTCCCAAAAGAGTAGTCTTTCTCCTTTAAGTGGGCTAGTCAGATCCCGCACGCGATCTTTTTTTTTTTTTTTTTTTTTTTTTTTTTAGAGTTGAGGGTGATAGGGAGAAAGAGAGAATTCTCACCCGCTGATTGCTCCCTAAATGCCAGTGATGGCTAGGGCTGGGCTAGACCAAAGCCAGAGAGCTGGGAACTCAGTCCAGGTGTCCCACACGGGTAGCAGGAACCCAATGACTCCAGCCGGCACCATCGCCTCCCAGGGTCTGCATTAGCAGGAAGCTGGAGTGGGGAGCCAGAGGCACTCTGGTGCGGGGTGTGGCATCTCCACCAGCAAGGTAACCGCTAGACCAGACACCCAGCTGCACGGGATTGTAAAATGACTGATGGCAGGGCGGGTGTTGGGGAACAACAGGTTAAGGCACTTGGGCTGACCCCATCCCACACGCGAGCTCAGCCCTGGCCAATCCATGCTTCTGATCCAGGCTCCTGCTCAAGTTTACTTGGGTTTCTGCCACCCATGTGAAAGACGTGGGGTTCCTGGCTCCTGGCTTCAACCTGGCCTAGCAGCTGTTGAGGGCATCTGGGGAGTGAACCAGCACATAGAAGATCTCTCTCTCTCTCTCTCTCTCTCTCTCTCTCTCTTTTTGTCTCTCCCCATCTCTCTCTCTCTGCATTTCGAATGAATCTTTTTTTAAAAAAAACTCATCTCACAGCCATTTACAGTAATATTTAAAATAACAGTGACATTTGTGGGGAGCAACTCGGACTAGACTGTTACTGGAATTAAGACTTATTCTATGCATCTGCTCTCCCACAATATGGCGCTGAGAAGGGAGTAACAACTTCTATGCAGCTGCCTCTCGCCAACTTGAGTGATGACCTGCAGGAGCTGATCCTGCTCCTGATTGGAGGAGAGCAGCGTACTCGGCGTGTGGGTAGCAGAGTTGGGATTGGTGGAAGAGGACTATAAAGGAGGAGAGAGACAACATGCACCAGGAACATCTAAGGGGAACATCTATCTGAAGGAACACCTGTGCAGCCCCCGAGAGAGCCGGCCAGCAGTGTGCCGCTCTCCCGCGGAAGTGGGGAAAGTGGGGAAAGTGGCAGGGGGAACCGCCCTTCCACGGAGGTGGAAGGGACGGTAGCCAACCCGGGAAGAACCAGCAGCAAACCCGGGGAGGGCCGAGCAGACAAAAGAACAGCGCAGGGTTTAGTGTCGTTCCTCCACGAAGAGGGGGAGCGACAGACATTAATCTCTCATCTCCGTTTTTCCCTCTGATCAGCCTCAACAGCTGTTAGGTTTTAATGAAATGGTTACGCCACCTCTAAAATCTGATTCTTGTCTCTGCCGATGGGGCGTTGTCTTGTCCCAGACTTGTTTGCCGAGAGGCCACATCCTCAATCACAGGGCGCGATTCGCCGAAAGGCCAGCTCCAGCCGGGACCTGCCATAACACTGGCTCCCGAGAAGGCGAGACAGAGAGGCTGAGCCGCCACCTGCCTTGCAGCTGAAGTGCCAGTGTCGGAGGAGACTTTCCTGGTTTTCTGATTGTCGGCCACTTCAAAAGAAGGGTCTGGTTGTTTAACTGAATGTGGGAATCATTCACTTTGAATATTTTTGTGAAAACACCCTTTCAAAAAGAGCTGTGTGTGTCACTCAGTAATACCCACAGTCACCTTTGGCGATGCTTTGCTGTGAAAACCCCTGCCTGCAGGGATGGCCCTCCCTGGACCAAAGTCTTAGGGACATTGAAGTAGCTACCACTTGATGCACCCCATCCATACGCCGTGATCTGTTCTAGGCAGTTTGTCAGTGTCCTGTCATTTAATCCTAGATGCCCACTATCATTCTCACGACTTGATCGTTACCTCCTCTCCACAAATGTAGCAGACTCTGCTGCACTCACTGCTTGGATTCTGCTTCAGGAAAAACCTTTGGATCCTGGTGCTGGGAGTGCCCTCAGCTGTGAGCCCCTGCAGGAAACCTGAGGACGTGGCCCCTAACACAGGGACTCTGAATGTGTGAGCCCAAAGGCCCACATCTTGGCCGAGCTTGGCACTGCTGGGAATGGCCCTGCTAGTGCCGGGGTTCCCCAGGGTTCAGCCAGGGAGCCAGCCCTGCAGACTGACTGCCCCTTGCCCTTCCTGCAGGGGGCGCCTCTCCCACAGGTGCTGAGCCAAGGGCGCTCCT